TCCTTGCAATACAAGTGTCACACTCAGATACTGGGATGTAGTTGCACATGGTAATGCTAGAGAGGAAAAATCAGCTTTAAGGTAGCTTCATAAATGGCTTCCAGTGCTAACACGAGGGAAGATGTGCTGGATGGTAACAATATTCTTGGATGCTGTAGAAGTAAGCAATAAACGGCACGGTTGGTCCTTGGGGAGGCCAGCCTGCAGCTGAGATGTAGGAATTCAGACTCCTTGTGCAGCTCTGACAGATCACTTGTGTACTTTTCCTCTCACACACGAGATAAATCTGGCTCTGGGGACTTGATGTCGTGTGCTTGATTTAAAAGTGCTTTAGGGCCATGAAGCACAAAGCGATTAAAGAAGTGCTGTGCTATTAAACCAGCAGTTCTTATACCCAGTTCAGAAGTGTTGCTAATATCATTTCCTCTCTTTCCAATTAACATTCCTTTCTATTGAATACTATTTTATTACCTGATAGCATAAGGAAATACCTTGCATTTCATCAGTGAGAGACTTGTTTCAGGCTCTGGGGTGCTATGGTTAAGTAGGTATAAGAGTGTATTTACTGTCCCCACATCAGACCGTGGTTCTTGTCCTGTGAGTGCTCCTGTGAGCACCTGGCAGTGCCCAGGTACTGATAATGGCTTTTTTGTAATCACCAATGGAATGGCAGCGCTCAGAGCTGAGGAACAGAGCAGCAGCTGATGTGGAAGGAGCCAGAGAAGGTAAGGACACCACCCAGTGCACAAAGCTGGTGTGCATCAGTCTGTCCTGTCTAAACCAGGGCTGGAAGTGGCCTGATAGCCACAGCTGCGAGAGAACATGGAGAAAAAATAAAGAGCAGGACGCAAATAGATTAACCAATAAAGGAGGTGAGTCCCAAACACTGCAGAAAGGAATACATAATTCTGCAATGGCCACAAGTTTGTGTGCTCCATGAAGCTGTAGGAGCTGGTCAAAGAAAAGATCCTGTCTCTAACTGCAAGCCTGGTCCCTTTCGACCCTCAGAGCTGTAGCAGTGAATTCTAGGCATGAGAAGAGTATTCCTGTGAGACACTGCAATTTCTCAAGACTTTTTGCTTTTTTTGCCTTTTATTTCTTGGCTATTGTTCTGGATATTGTGTATCCAATAATTTTTTTTTTTTTAAAGTGAGATTCTCTTTTCTGTTGGAGGGCAGAAATGATTTGAAATTCTGAAAAAGCTGAGGAGAATGAGTTGAATATAGAAACATAGATTTCTCTGACTATGAATGCTGCATGTCATTACATAAAATGCTTGGTGTTGTATTTCTGAAATTTAAAAACCTAATTGCTTAAATCTTATGAGAACCTTGTTACTTAGTCTGCTATTCATACTTTCTGTCCTGTGCAGCAAAATGAGGAAAGTAGATACATTTTTGCACACTCATGAGATTATAAGTGAACTAAAACTTAAAAAACTACTCGCAAAAAAACCACTCGCAAAAAAACCATTTGAGTTTTATTAAACATTGAGATGCTGTTAACTGTCTTTCAGACATGCTTCAGGTGTCAGTACCTGGATCTCTGCAGTGCAGAAAGGAGCACGGAAAGGGAGGGGGCAAGGACAGGATCTGTGGGTGAGCTGGGCGCGTCTCTGGCCCCAAATCCTTTCCATGCCCGCAAACGGGGACGGAGAAATTCCGAGCGCCCTGGGGCTCCGTGTTCCCCTGCACCCCTTTAATT